CAAGTCATGGAGTTTTGCACCTGGTGACGTTGTGTTGCCGGAACCAACGGCGCGTATAGCACGACTGCCCTTGAAAACTCGGCCGAAAGTGGCCTGTGTTCGCGGGCCGTGTCCACCCGGCGCCCTGCCTCGTAGGCAGACAACCGCAGTCTTTGAGTGGCAGGCAGCACGATTCGGACCTACAAGACTGGTAGAGAGGACTTGTACGGATCAGCTCGACCGTTCCGACACAAGCCCGTCGGAAGACAGCGCCTGTATGGACTTCTTGGACGAGCCGGTTTGGTGTGCGGATGAAATGCTAGTGCGTCATTTGCGTTTATCGAAGAAGCTGTGAAAACCAGACTGTTCGCTGGCGATCACCACACCAACCCACCATTACACTCTTGCGCCTTCAGTCATCCGTGACATTCGTTAGCAACCTCGGGAGGCGACAGCCATTCCAGCATCTGTGAGAAGCGGCGTCGACGTCCACCATGAAGCCAGTGCGTCTGTCCGACTCATCCCCGGACCTGAGCTGGATGTCCGGCTCGGACCAGCAGGAGAACTGGCACCAGCAGCGGGTGCGCTGCTGACCCGGCGCGTCAGTGACCTGTCCTCCAGCTGGGGCGGTTCGTCGTCTCGCTCCACCGGCTGCCGGGTGCTGGTGGCCGCTATGACGGCTGTCATCGTCTGCTGTCTGGCCGGCCTGCTGTCCATCGCCCTCAGCCAGGCGGTGTACGCAGTGCGTGCCGCACACGAGCCGCTGCCACCCGAGAAGGGGATGTTGACGGAACTGCGCCCTCAGCAGCACGTGGCTCGTGCACTGAGGTTGGCCAGCCGACAGTCCACGGACCCTGCGCTGGGAGGGCCGCCGCCGATTCTCACTTCATCGCCGGACTCCGCCCCAGCCGGAGAAGGCCGACACTAGAAGCAAGAGCGCCAGGAGCAGCAAGCCAGGCGTCAGGAACAGCACGCACAGCTTCTTGGGAATCAGGCTGATGAGACTCGGCGCCAGGAGGTGGCTTACCAGCATCTTCTGCAACGAGTGCAGACCGATTTGCAAGGGGATAATGGCGGACAGAGGCAGCACGTCTATCAGAAGTTATATGAACTGCTGAGTGACTACCATCAGCCTCCACATGAGCGTAGAAGTCGGATGGGATGGCAGCATGGAGATGAGAAAGGCGGACGATGGCGACGCTCGGCGGCAGATCCGCGACGACGCTCGGACCTGCGTCCCCGCCGCCACCTGGCGCAGATTACGAGTCGAGACTGAGCGACAAAGCCAAGCTTTGTTGTGGACCGAAATCCTACATGTGTAAGTGAAGCTACTCGTGAAACCTTGAAACTGCGATCCCGTGGCGTGGAACATCCTGGTGACATACCGCTGGCAGGAGAAGTTAAAAGAGTTGCACTGGCTATGGCAGCAGCATGTGGGGACATCAGCTTTGTGGCAGTTTAGAGTAATTGCAAACTGCAGTTCAGCACATAAGTACAGAACTCATATCAGCACTGAGCTAAGTAAGTGCGTCGTGCTGGATAGTCCTGGACAGTGGACACTGGACACTGGACAGGCCATTGTAGGCACTACCCAATGGTTGGTAGTGGCTCGATCAGTTCGAAAGAGTGTCAGGTCACCGACCAAACTCGTTTGGCGTCTGTACTCTGTATGGCGTCAATGTGTTTCGGTACAGAAATGCGACGACGTGGCGATGTTTTCTTTAGCTTGGCTGTGAGCCACGGTGCAGTATCTGAGAATTTTGGAGCCTTTCAGGGGCCACAGTGGTTGAAGGACCAAAGCCACAGTTCCATAAAAAAGCTTGGTAATGGAAAGGAATGGTGGCGAAAGTGAAATGAATTAGGACAGCAAATGATGACAGGAGTGGAGTCGCTCGCGCAGTGAACAGCAGTCCTCCATGTGGCGTACCAGATATGTTTCGCGCTGGCCTTATAACCATGTCACCTCCTCCTCCCTACCCCACCTCCTTAGACGCCCTACAATGCTCTTTCAACGGACACCCCTCGGTCTCGGCTCGGATGATCAGATCGACACATCCTTACCACCCCTGTCCGGCATTGTCCTGGCCCACAGCCAAATGCAGATCACCGGCATCTATCACCTCGGAGTGAGTCAGTGCTGGGGGGTCGGTGAGGAGGCGATGGGGGGGGGGGCTGACTGACCAGCGATACCTAGGGGAGAGCGGGGCCAGTTGAAACACGGGGTCAGATGAAACATGGCTTTATTTTCAACAGTATGCAACATATGGCGTTGCCGACACCACTGCGCATCCGCGCTCGACCACTTCCTTTGGTCAACGGCGTTTGGGCGGCAAACGGACGGTAATTTTGATTTGACACTTGTTTTTGTGTTTTTGAGGGGCGTTTGGGAGAAATCGTTCTTATGAATATTTTGTGATATCTCATATACCTTTGTTTGCTGAAAGAAGAACTCCTGGCTCCGGAATAACACCTTATTTGGCCCTTCATTCAGCATGATGCCGTCCCTCCAGCTCGTTTGACATGTGCTTTACGGCGCGTGCGAGATGGCGGGAGCGGATGGGGTCAATTGAAACGCTTCTCTGAGGGTCAGTTGAAACAGGGCCACAGGCCGTTTCAATGGACCCCGGTGACCTTTGCAATGGTTTTTGTTCAGGGGCTGTAAACATTAAAGGAAATAGTCTTCCTTTGAAATGAGCTTTTAAACCGAACTAGTACTTTAATAGAGCTCAATTTTTGACCCCTTTTTCTCCAGCCTTTTGCTTGAAAGCACACTATAGCCTGAGATATTTCTCATTTTCCTCATCCGCCCATTTTACCATAGTCTATGTACTTTATGTCACCTATTATGAGGAACTTATCACTTTTAGCTTTCCAACGACCTATTGAATGTAGCATTTGGAAAAGTAAACCGGACAAAATATCTCCTTAAGAAAGTGGCCTTAAAGAGGAAAACATCCCATTGTTAAGGATAGGTGCAATTGACCCCATGGGCTGGTTCTATTGACCCTCGCATCGGGGTCATTTGAAACGGGCGTAGAGCTGTTTTATAAGCATGCGTTTGGCAGCAAAATATGTCTGAAACATAATTTTACATATCTTAAAATAAAGCCAAAAGAGTATATTTTTTCATGGCATTGTGCATTTTTCGATATGATTACTAGATCTCGCTGTGCATGTCAATATATAAAAAGTGGTTCAACTGGCCCCGCTCTCCCCTACATACAGTGATTCAGCCGTGTGTTTTCACTGCCGTCTGCGCAACTTTGGTTTGAGCTGTGATTTTTAATACAGATATTGCTTTCTTTCTGGTCGAGAGCATGCTTCACAAAGCTTAATATCATTTTGATGAAATGGAAGGCTGTCAGTTAGTGATTGTCAGTTACCCCGGGCAGCTTCTTTCTCTTCAGTCTTTGCCCGGCTAACTGCGACCTTTTTTCAACCTTTATCTCTGCCAAAGAACAGCACTGGGAAGGCTAAAGTAAAATTACTGTCAACAACTGTTCCAGGTTACGAAAGACATGAATAACCCGTGTCCAAACGACCTTCGTGCAGAGCTCTGTCACCATTAGAAGGCGGGCAAATGGAGGGTGCGATGACATATCTCCTCTGTCGCTGCCGAGACGATCTCCTATCCCACCGCTGTCCCAGCGACGCGAACCGAACGGACATCGTATTCACGCAGTCTGATTTAGACGAGGCAGCTGTTGCGATGATCGACGGGGTAGAAGTGATGAAGTTTTGTGTTATGTTTATAATTTGTTTGGAAAATGCAAACTTTATTCATATGATATTCTAGACACGGTATCACCGACAGAATTAAGAAGATAACATGAAGTTCAGGTTTAGAATGTTTGCGGTGTCGGCTTGTCCTTTTTCTTGCAAGAACCGTTACATTTGTGAGGTATCGTTTCTGCTCATCTCACTTGTAAGCCACAGGATAATCCCAGTTATTTACACCTCTGTGCTCTTATTTATGAACTTGGTCCCACGCGCCCTAAGCAGCTGAAATATTTCGGGTTTTCTCAGACTCTCGGAGTCCACCTGACCACAGACTCCAGGTGCTCGGTTTATTTGGGGAATCTGCTGTTGTGTCGGCTAAGCCTCCTGTGTTCCGGTTGGTGACATGGGTTTTGGGCTTCCCGGTCGCAGTCGCGCCGTTAGATGCAAGCTCAGTCTCCGAGTGATCAATGAGCATTGTTTGCAAGTGCTCTGTTTTCAGGCCCACTTTGCATTTGTGAGTCAACCGGCCATCAACTTATCCATATTATGAGTATTATCGAACGGTATTTCAAGTAAAAGTGAAAAACAATTTCAACTTCTTATTACTAAGGAACGTGTCTAGTTTTATCACCTGCTGCCACGACTGCTGAATGCTGATCTGCTCCTATCTAATTCGCTTATTCGCACCTTCTCGTGGCCCGCAGAGCCACCTCCTCCCCTGCTATATGAGAGACACTCGGCCGGCAGTCGGCGGCCGGACGTGGGTAACTGCATCGGCCACGGGCTGACGGTCAGGGCCGTCTTCATTACCGTGATCCGATGGAAATCAGCGTCTGATCTGTGACCGGCTCATCGCTGCGCCGCATCAATGACGGCGGCATTTTTTGCGCCGCCCAGATTGCTGATTTATAAGTAGCTGAACAAATCCGATATTCATAATGGTATTTCGGTAAGAGGTGTGATATAGTACGCCGCCCGTTATCAGCCCGTCTCCGCTTAATGTCGAGAAGATTGACCGTGACAGCGGCTAAACGCCTTAGCTCGGGTCTCGCTGTGTTAGACCCGGCAGAGTGGTTCCGTGAAACTCGTGCGTGAATTCAAACCCGCTGAAGGTCACCGCATTAGCCAAGACAAATTCTGGGAAGTCACACCTAGTTTTTACTTCACTGAGATCGCAAACACTTTAGTGTTGTCGCTTTTGTTGTTGGAAGTGTAAACTGTTGGGCTTATACATATTTGACTATTTGACGTCTCTACAAATAGCTATGATTTGGCAACGCTGTGCTGTTTTATTCCGGCAGATTCACTCCATCGTATATCACTCGGACCAGGATCCGGTCACCGGCAGCATGGGACTCAAACTGGAGAGCAATACTCGCAGGTAAATGCCAAGCCCATACTGGGTCTTGATATCGTTACTCCTCATTCAAACGCTCGTAAATATCTTCTTTACCTATTTACCTTCGTAAATATCTTCTTTAATGTGTCTGTCTGTGTGTCTGTCTGTGGTCGAGGTCAATCACATTCTATTCAAATTTGAATGTGATAAATCACACTCAAATTTGAATTTTGAATGTGATTTGACAAAGATCCGTGATCGAAAATTTATCATTTCTGTATTTGACTTTTTGTAAAAATATATCCTGTCATACAATTTCAAGGAGAGGTCATTCAAGAAGTATTTTAAAGTACAAATGCTCCTTGTTCAAGCACTAAGAAAAGCTCGTAAATATCAGTCAAATATCGCCATCAAGTTGACAATTTTCTCGGCTGAATGTTAACTTTGAAACGTGACAAGCCGGCCAAACTAGCGCTGCAGACACGACCTGCAGACTCTATCCTGCTCTCTTCTTCCCCAATCCCTCCGTCGTTTCCTCCTTATCTCGGACCTCCCATGTTCTTCTGAGCCCTCTCTGTGATCCGTTTAACGCTCTTCCTGTGTCCTGTTCTTCCTGTGTGGCAGACTCCTGGTGGATGACCGCAAGGAGGTCTACTACCGCGCCGAGGTGCAGAACCGCTGCTACCGACGTGAGGTCATCCAACTGGAGAGAGAGGTTACTGCACTGGAGCGAGAGCTGAGCGCGGCGTTCGGGTCACCGGACAGCTCCCGGTCATCGCAGGTCAGTCGAGGTCAGGGGTTCTTATAGGTTTGTATTATTCAACGGGAAGGTACCTGCATGACAATCCATAGAGTAACCCTTGAAAAGCAGGGGCTGTCGTCCGTATTGTGCATGTAGCTAACTAGCCCTGCGCAGTGTTTCAGCTGTCTTTCCCGCCTCTACCTGTTCCAGAGCTCGTTGTCCGGGGAGTACCCGGCTCACCCGCCCTGCCCAGCCGCGCCGGAGCCGGCGGACCGGGAGGACGTGCTCCTCCTGCTGCAGTTTCTGCCGCCGGGTCCGGCGCTGCTGGCTCCTCCAGCCAGCCGGTCTCTGTGCGCCTCCCTTCCCTCACTGCACCTCCCTGACGGCGGACCGGGCCTGTGTCGGCGCCTACCGCCCGCCGGTAGTTCCACCGAGCTCTGGCGACCCTCCCGGACCGCCGGCCGCCGTAAGGACCGACTGGTAGTGCCCACCTACCGAGTCAGCGATTTGAGCGTCATCTCACCGAGCGCGAGCCTGCCGCCGCCGAGACCCGACTCCCGGGAGCGGCACTGCGCCGTCCAGGAGGGGGTTCGAACCCTGGAGAGCACCCTGGAGAGTCTCAGTGACCGGTTTCCCGTCACCTACCGGATACAGATCCGGCCGAAACCGGCACCGACCTGCGCCGCCGCCAACGGCCGCCTGTAGCGCCGTCTGCTGGCCGTGGCGGGAGGGGGCTGGTGGGGGTGGACGGCGGCAGAGCTAGGTGGCGCTGAGGACGTCTTCAAGTCGCTTTTGACTGCTGTTCTGCAGCCGCGATCATTGGCCAGGGAGCATCGACTGTGACTTCTGAACTGTTTGTCGCGCAGGTTACACCACTGTGCCGACTGGCTAGTGCTGGGCCGGCATCAATTCCCAGGGATTATCGAGGTTAACCAATCAGCTAACCTGTTAGAATTCCTTGCATTGACAACATCCATGTTACCGGCAGGTAACAAACAAATTCATCAAGTGATAATTACTGATGCGTTCGACCGATACACACTTGTTTTACCCAATGAGAAGGCTGATTGCATATTCTCAGGCATATCCTAGCTTCTATCCCGATACAGAGCTGTTCATGAAGCTTCAATTCCATTTGTAACCTTTTTAACCAGCATCTTTTATTTGAAAACATCCCTCAGGAAAAATGTGGTCACAACGTGCCGCACCGAAATAAGTCAGGGAAATGACTAATGTGACACCGTTCCATGCTTCTATCCTCAAGATGCAGAAATCCTTCTCCCCCACGCCGCAACCCCCCTCCGGGCTGGACAGGTGACTTTATCTCATGCGGGCTGCTACCTTGGAGCGGCGCCGCTGCTCCCGAGGGAGCGCACCCCGTAGCCGGGTGCAGTGAGTGCCTTGGGGCTGGGTGGCCTGTCCTCTGGACGGGCTCAGCCCCGGCGACTCACTAGGGTGCCTGCCCAGACCAATGTCTCCCCCTATATCCTATCATCCTCCCGGCTCTGAAATGGTCTTACTGGACCGAAAGGGCCTAACCCAACAAAACAAACAAAAACAAGACTAATGTGAAAATGCGTGTTCGATGTTGGCCTCTCAGCGTTTCTAGTCAAAAGTTTTTATGTTATCGTGTATTTGCTTTGCATTCTCCAAACTACAGCCCCCTGAAACTTTACCATTTGTGAGACATGGCTGGAAAAGAACAATCAACTTTTTCTTGGTAGCCACTTGCCAGCGTGAGAAATCTGTTTTGTGTTTTATCAAGCTTCTCATCTACCTGTGGATACACGAATTTGTTTGCACTTGATTAATAGCATTACGTGATATATGTTGTTTTTATTGTCGTTGTTTGACCATGTCAATATGTTCGCGTGTGTAATTCTACCTAACATCACTCACTATCATTGTTCGGAAGCAATAGATGTCCCAAAGTACAAAAGATGAAGTGGATGTCTGTCCTGTCGCTACTTTGATAGATTGTTTATTCAACTGACGTACCAATCTTTGTCAATAATTGGATCAATACCTAATACTGCTATGATATTGAATGTTCGTGTGTAGCGCTGACATGTCAGGGTAACTTGAACCCAACACCGCAACTCACGATTGAGGAAGTGGGATGTGTTTGGCATTTGGGAGCAATGCATTCAGTGTGAAATATGTAGAGCAGACATTGGCACATTTGAATGTAAAATACATATCGACCAGTGGGCAGAATATTTACTTACATACACTTCTGACCTTCTGGAGCGCGATATTGTTCTCAAGACGCTTGTACTCGTATCCTGGTGTGTGCCTGTAAAATGACCTGCCCTTTATGAATCCGTTTGTTCTTACATAGCAGACTGTTTTAGAGACGGCTTGCATTCTTTGCGCACCTGAACAGCTCTGTCTCACGATTATAGTACAACCGTGTTGATAGCACAGCCTGCATTACGGTCAGCTGCATCATTAGGTCTGTTTTATCAGGTTTGCAGAATATCGTTTATTGGCAGATCCAAGACACGTCGCTGGATTATTGGCGGTTTTATATTGGCAACGATTAACTTCTCTGGCAGCAGCATTTGTATTGGGGCGATGGCGTGCGCTTTATTAAATGCCAAAGTAATAGCTTGCATTAAGTCACGCAGTAAACCACCTCTCCGTACATAAAAACAAAATAAAACATGCGGTTAATGTTGCGTCTTGCGTCGTATTACCATAAACCGTAGTCTATATTGTTTTCGACGGATCGTCACTACTCTAGAGCTTGCAAGCTTGCAGCTGTTGCCATCTTGGTATATGAATATGACGTAGGTATAATTAAATGCAACATTGCAATGAATTACATATACACCCAACTAGCAAGACCCGAAGTATGAAAAAGATCGCCTATCACGCGCGCGACTTGCGCTTGGTCATGTTTCTCAATCATCCTCGTTCTTCACAGTTTGCCGTCTCAGTCGCCTGTTTACTGGGCGCGCACGGACGAATGTGCTGGTATGTCGGAGCTGAGCTCTCGCAGTCACGTTCTGACTCCACAGCGCTGTTTGTCGGGGCGGTTTTAGATACAGGGTGGCAGGCTACGACAGCGTCGATAGCGCTCCATGCGACGGGGACACCGACGGCCCCCGTTCCTCGGGTGGACCTGACAACATCGGGTAACAGAAAATACGGTCAATGGGGAAAATGAGACATGAGTTATTCCAGATAGGGCTGAAAGATATTGACTAGACAAGTTAAATCAGTCACAGGACGCATGGGACCTTCGAGAAAACACCAGTGTGTCAAAGGCGCTGAACAGTGTACACGGTTGCTGGAACATTCACCTTCTCAGAACAATTTCAAGCCATTTAGTTGCAAAGCTTTCAGGATTGATATATAAACCACGCATTCTAATCAAATGTGTTATTTAACCTTCACAAGCAACAACCCCTTCTCCTTCTCCCTCTCGTTTTCCTCTCTCCCTCTCCCCACTCAGTACCCACCTTGATGCGTCTGACGCGCCGCTGTCGGCCGGAGCCACGGCGGCCACAGGTGCGGTCACAGGGCTCCCAGGGCAGCCACGGGGTGACCATGCAGTCCACAGGCTCGGGGGCAGTCGACACCAGGTTATGGGCGGCAGGGGAGCCGCCGCCGCCGCCAGCCACCACTGTGGGGAGGGACAGAGGTGCAGTGTGTCAACGAGTTGGGACACTGGGTAGATGGCATCCGTACGATCTGTGATAAAGTGCCTCAGCCTGCGATAAAAGCCAACACAATACAGCAGAAGCAATATGGACGTTAGTGGAAAGTCACAACCAGGCTAGGCTGTTTTCGAGCTAAAGATCTGTCAAGCTGTTTTATAATATTTCATGGGATTAGCTGTAACTGCTGTGACAATTCGGCATAGTTCTGACCTGACCTGGACCCACCTGAGCAGGATGTCTGGCAGTCCTCAAACGTCTCGAAGTTGTTCTGGTTTCCTCGACAGCCTCCGTAGACAAACCTAACGCACATGCCCTTCATCGGCTCGAAGTACCAGCGCTCGAAGTTGCCGCGACAAGGTCCCATCTCTCTTGGCAGCATACACACACCTGGAACATATAGTGGTGCTCAGAATGAGCGATAACGTTTTAACTGAGTGACGTAATTTATCAAAATGTAACGAGTAAGACACCCAAATGTGACGAGTAAGTCATCGAAATTTCACCCATGAATAAAAATAAACGAGAAACAACGGTCAATCCGTATCTCAGAAACAGTGCACTACAATCGAATAGATTGATAGGTATCTGTGAGATAAACACGTTCTGATTTTTTATTCGGCCATGTGGCAGGTGCTGTCTCACGTTTAGCCTCCATCATATCCAGGGTGCAGCTCGTCCTGGCCGCCTCGCAGGGGCCCTTGTCCATCAGCCGCACGTGCTGACACTGGGCCTGCTCGCGCTCCGGGAGCAGCAGCAGCCGGGCCCGAACCCGCTGTCCGCTGCCGCAGGTTACTGAACATGGTGACCAGAAACTCCAATCGGTCACAGGGCAGGCGCTGTCCACCTGTGGTAGGAGATACACAACAGTGAAATACAGCGACTAGAAGCTCGAGTTGGTCACAGGGCAGGCGCTGTCCACCTGTGGTAGAAGATACACAACAGTGAAATGCAGCCACCAGAAGCTCGAGTTGGTAACGGAACAGGCGCTATCCACCCGGGATAGAAGGCATACAACAGTGAAATATGACGAGCAACAGCTCAAGTCGGGTGAGTGAATACTGGAAAGGTATACTGACCACCTTTAGCAAAAGAACTCTATCAAATTTCAGACACTACCTAGTCTTGGTGATAGGCTTCGTTTACGCTCCGAGGTGTCCTGCGGTACAGCCTACCTCTGCGATAGATGCTGCGCCGCACAACACAAACGATGCAAACGTAAGCAGGCAGGCACAAACTATGCACTGAAGTGAAGCTACTGCACTTGGATAATTAGATATGCTATTGACCGTAAAACCATAACTAGTTATTTGGGAAAGCAAACACAATAAACCAAAGAGAAAGGCTACCTGATACTGTTATGTAGTGTTTATGACAGCCCTCGCCTACGCTCCGCCATTCATGTGCTTTGCGGTACAGCCTACCTACTGTTTGGGATGCTGCACCGCATAGCACAAACGCTGCGAGCTACATATGCAAGCACATACTGCATAGAAAAGGCGACAACGTGCAGCCTTGAAGCCGGCACGCTATCCTTATTGAAAAGGCATGATAATGATTAAAAATTGGTCGCTTATTATCGCCGTTTTTTGGCTTTGATGAAACACGTATCCCAGCTATGTCGGTCCAGTCTGCACCACGCACGATGTATGACAACAATCACAAAAAATGCCTACCTCCTCCTCTTCGGTCTCCGGACACTCGGCCTGCACCGCCATACACTTCTCCTTCTCTTCTGTGTCGTGGAAGCACTTCTTCCTGCCCATACGGTCCAGGTAGTTCCGTCTCCGCATCCTGTAGCAAGCATTTCAATAAAAACGCAATTTTCAATGGGCGTAATTTTCATTGTAAGCGCAAGGGCTGTAACAGACTCTTTCCGCAGTCAGACATTGCATGCGAAAGTCTAAAACCCTGCTCGCATCAATCGCATGCGGGAGGGGCGTACGATTGATGCGAACGTGATTTAATGGCTTTGAATAGACTCTCGCATGCGATTTCCTGACTGCGGAAAGAGTCTGTTTCAGCCATTACTGACCATAATTCATGAACGCAAGCTATCCTTCCTGAAGTTAGCCAGTGAAGAGATGCTGCTACTGACCACAACGACTGAACACCGACTTGAAGCCCTTACTGCAGTCTGCAGGTGACCGAGCACTCAGCACTGTCCCAAAGTCTGTGTTTGTGCTGACTAGTGAACATTTATCTGATTTCGAAGGTGGTCTAACAACTGATCGCAAGCCCTGGCCGCATGGCTGACCTAAACACTGACCTGAAGCCCTGGCCGCAGGTGACCGAGCACGGCGACCAGGCGCTCCACGAGCTCATGGCGCACAGGCCGCTCAGCTCCCCGAGTCCAGAGTGGTCTGACACGGGCCGTGGCCGGCCGTCACACGTCAGCGGGGCGTCACACAGCACCTGTCGTGACGGGAGGGGCGTCACATGGCACTGGAGCGTCACAAAGCACCTGCCAAGACGAGATGAACGTAGAGCGGGATTATGGCACAACACCTGTAGTGAAGCAAATGTCGTGCTACACTACCTTACACTGCACAGTAATTGTTAGAAACGCCAAGGCTTAGGAACTCTGGCGTTGTCACCTCATTTACTTGTTTGTCAAAGTGCTTGAGCTGTTTACACCTTCCCAAAGCTGTCGAAAGAAGTAAGCTTACCTTTTCGACAAGCTGCTGCTTGCAGTTCATCATCTGCGCCTTTGCGGGCAGCTTGTACTCCCTGGTTCGCATGCTCAGTCCCTCTCCGCACGTGACTGAGCACTCGGACCAGTCGCTCCACGGAGTTACCATACACTCGGCTGGGAAAGAGTGAGACATGCAGTAAATAAAAACTCGGACCAGTCCTTCCGTGAAGTAGCCATACACTCCTGTGTGAAAGAGAGGTATGCGCACATTGACTTACACTCATGCCTGCCCGCCTTAAAATTCACTGTGAGTCTGGGAACGGAGGTAAAAAGAACCAGGAACTTTCTTACGTCGGTCATCGCGAGGCAGATCGTCTGCTGCCGATGTATGCCGTCCCACGTCCGGCTGATGGTCGCAGCTGCGGGGGATGACCCGGGTCCGGGTCAGGGTGATGCGCGCCACGGGTGCCGCCGGCGCGCCAAAGAAGGGCGCGCGCGGGTCGGCAGGCCACTCAGCGGTGATGGCGCGAACCGGCTGCCGCTCAGCCTCAGGAGCGTTCGGAGACTGCCAACGGAGACAGGAGGTTCGTGTCAGATGGAATTGGGTAGAGTGTGGTTGGTGGAAACTATGGGGAGCAACGTACTGCGCGGTAGAGAGGAACGTAATAGTTGTGGGCAACACAGAAGAGTCCGTAAATGTTATGCTATGACAAAGAAGTTCATGAGCTGAGGTCTGGACTAGAGTTGCAAAGTTTTCCCAATGGGCTGCTACCGGCACCGCCCCGCCCCACAAAAATTTTCTGGGATACCGGCATGCTACCACGCCCCAAGCAAAAAAAAAAAAAAAAACGCCAAATTACCGGCATACCGGTAATTTTGCGGTAATTTTAATACGGCATATGGAACTTCTACCACAAAATGTATTTTGCAGTGGCTAAGATTGCTGTTATTACAATTCAATAGCCTCTTAGTGTCCAAAGTTTGAATCATATGCTGATCATTTTTTGTGTGCAAAATCAAAAATACCGGCATGCTACCGGCAAGACATGCCAGATACCACGAAAAAACCTGCGGTAGTGAAAAATTACCGGCATGCCGGTAGTGCGGTAGGGAAATTTTGCAACTCTAGTCTGGACAAACCTCGTAGCTGATGCCGCTGTCGGTTCCGGCGTCATACAGTCCGAGGTCGATGACCTTCTCCTCCATCCAGGAGCAGTTCTTGAGGCAGAGATTCAGACCCGACACACCCAGAATCCAGTCCGGGGACGGCCCTGCACAGAGAGGTGAAAAAATTATGAAACTTTACCCAGGCCATAGTCCGGGGACGGCCATGCACAGAGAGGCGAAAAGATGTGAAACTTTACCCAGGCGATCCTTGGCAAAAGGCGAAAACACCAACCACCACAATTTGCATCTGCTTCGAAACAGTGCACGCACAAAGCATGTTCTTACTCAGATGTCATCAGTTTCGAGCCACCTGACTTGTAAGATTTGTGCATTCGTTAGACCAAAGCATTTACCTAGCATGGTGACTGCAGAAAAGTGATGACGCTTCTTGTCCACCTTGAAGTCAACAGCGGTAGTGCCCTGGACGTTCGGATGCCACAGACCCTTGGCTCGAGTCAGGGTCCGCAACGCTCGCCCCTGTGGCAAGACATTTGCTGTAGTCTGCGTGCTTCACAAGGAATGGAATGGAGAGGGAGACGTTCTGGGCGGCAAACCGTCGTTTGTCCGTTCGTCCATTTGTCCGTTCATTTTCGTTTTACTGTTCACTCATTCACTTATTCACTCGTATACGTTCGCTCGCTCATCCATGCATTTATTTATTTATTCGTCGGCAAATCAGCTCAGAACTTGTTCCGACCATTAACCTACCCACCCACGGTTCCTGCGGCACCTTCAGCTCACCTTGACCTTCATCTCCTGTTCGAGTTTCCTGGTGTAGCCGTACTCCGCCACCTGTTTGAGCCCGTCCGAGGCCGGCTCCCCCTCCTGCCACATGCTGACATCCGGCACGTGGCTCGCCACCAGAACGTCGCTGAAGTGAGTTAGCCACTCGTTGCGCGGAAAGTCCTTCGGGTGGGACTCGCGCGACCACAGGCCGTCGAAGCGAAGCTGAAAAAGAAAAAGACGCGTCAGTCAATTTTGTCGTCGATGCATAACTTTCGTGGAAACATGAAAGGAATGTTCATGAAGGGCTCACTTCTTTCAGCGTAAAAAGGGACCACTAGTCCTTGATTTGAAAGTCACAGTTCCTAAGTCTCCAGATAAGTGTTGAGAAGCCTTCATGTTATTCTCTTACCTCGTATTTGGCCTCGTCACAGGCGCAGCAGGTGCCTTCGGCTTGTTGTTGCTGCTGCTGGTGGCTCTGTTCCTGTTGCTGGTGCTGCCGCGGCGGTCGGTGACTGGAGCCCTCCTCGCACAGCTCTTTGGTCAGTCCCTCGTCATCCATGTACCACACGTAGCGGGAGCGGACCACGACGGCCCTGCAATGGGAGCACAGTTCAGTCACATACAAGGGTTCTGGGAAGGCAGATGCTGGTCTGATCTACGGCAAACGATGGATGAGGCTCAGAAACATTACTATGTAGAAACTATTAACTTTTTAAGAACAGTGGAATAAAGCTACAACTGCATTTTCTTCGAACCAAGAAACCTACTTCACGACACCGAGGCCCATGCCTTGGTATGCCTGTGCCGTTTGCTTACTTGAAGGTGACGCAGCCAGCACCGGCCCGCGGTGCCATCCAGAGCACCTCGGCCTCGGTCTTGGGAACGGTGGACGTCTGGGTGACCATGTTGGGACAGTTGGGGTCGAACTTGGCCAGCCCGAAGCCGAACACCTGGAAAGAGCCGGCGTCCCTCACCGAGGAGCCGCCTGTTCGCGAGTTCTCCGCCACCAGACTGAAGGCGGTGAACTTCTCCGCGAGGTACTGCGTCCTCCAGCCCATCAGCTTCACTGCCGGCGTCATCAGCGGACTGGTCAGACAGTCATCAACTTCACTGCAAACATGGCTAAGAATTTGTCAGATCATCGGTGCAGCTTTACCTTCAACATTATCAGTAGGTACCATTTCAAATGACTCATTGCCGGCATTTCCAGCGCCTACACTAAAACAACTGCTATCTTTAATTAACCCGCGACCGCCTGGGGGGGGGGGTCGGATCCGACCCCCCCCCCCGTTTTTCTTGAATAACTCATGAACCACTTTCGCTATCTACTTGAAACTTGGCATACCTTCTCCCCCATCAATTTGACGTCTCCTGTGCATAAGAAAAAAAATCCAATTTTTTTTTAAGATATATCGATTTTAGTGATGTAACTACATGGTGTTTTTAGTCAAAAAGTGGTAAATGTTTAAAAAATCGCCAAAAATCAGGGTTTAAAGCAAATTGCGAATTAAGGACATGAAAAGACGCAGCTTAACGAGTTCTTTAAAATGGCTATCTCGGATTTTCCATAAAATGCGTTATTTACCCCTAAAAATTAAAAAAAACTACATTTTTTGGAAAACAGCTAATAAAATCCAAAATTTTGGGAATTTCCAAAAAAAAAAACGGAATATATGATGTAGAGCTCTATTAGAACATTATATGCCCCAAATTTCAACTTTCTATCTTGATTTTTGACCCCCAAATTGTAAAAAATAGCTCCAACATGCATAGGGCATGGTGACGTCATAAGCATTTTCGTGAATTAGAGGCACTTCTGAACATCGCATGTGAAAACAAATGGCACCACTAGATTCCTGGGACAAAGGTCGTCTTGAAAAGTGTATTTTTATGTCAAAAATAAAAAGTTGAAAAATTGACTTTTTTTCTTAGCCCTCCTTTAGTTATGTAGGGTATAAACGATTTTGTATGCTTTCAATGCACACTTATCACCAGCACAGTGATTTGGGGTCACATATAACCATTACCATCGGATTCGGCGTGAAAAAATAAGCCATAAAACATGTGTCGCACGCCCATGTAGCAGAAATTGAAAACCGTGACCTTTCGTGACCTGACCTGACCTTGACCCGTACTTATTATGACCCCTATACGCACATGGTACCTTCACTAGGCCTTTGAGGTCATTTTTGGTGAGTTTCGAGCAGCTGCTATCGATTCCGCTGTCCGTAAGCCTAATCATGCAAAACCCCTGAATTTGACCTTTGACCTGACCTTGACCCGAAAGTTGACCTCAATCTTAAAATCTTAAGAGTGCTTTGGGAAGGTCTCGTAGAGACCTTTCGAACGCCGCCTCGCGGGGCTCGATACGACCATTGGTTCTCGAGATAACAGGGGGGGTCGGATCCGACCCCCCCCCCCAGGCTGTCGTGGGTACGGAAATAGCCCAGGCGGTGCCGGGTTAAGTCATTATCAGGGACCTCGAAAGAAAGAAAACTGAAACGATTGGAACACTGGCAGAGAGAGTGAGACATCCTCGTGACCATCCAGAGTGGCCAAGTGAGACATCATCAGCATCAAACCAATTACTGGCTATCTAGCCATCAGCGTGTTTTTCATCGACCGACTGTGACACCATGTCACAGATATAAACACCAATCGGAATTGCAAGAGTAAATATTGCAATATTTTACTAGACGAAGTAGGTATAGCCCTTCATGCCGGATGACACACTTCAGGCATCCATATAGATTAGGATAGTAATGGCCTAAACGTAGCATTGGGTTACTGGGTCAGCTGCAGCGGATGCTGACAGTTGTCACAGTCGTACGCTGCAGGGATGACCTGCTTAAATTTGAGGTTGTCAGCCAGTGCTAAACCAAACTATTGAATCAGCTACTCGTTTGAGGTTGCGATAATTTCACTGGAATGGTTTCATTTACGTAAGATCTCTCTCCTTGCAATCGCTTCTTTTCTGACCTATCCTTTGAATTTGCTGACCTGTATAATTTTATGAGCATGGTGCTCACCCAGTGACATCCTAGGGTCCCTACGCTTGAGTGACCCCCCACGTCCTCCCAGCATCAACAAGGAAATATTTTGAGCCATACGAGACTAAACAGAATTCCAGGATCTACGTGATGCAAACAATACAGAAATGGCTCCACTGAGCTTGCACAACTCCCCTGAACAAACAAAGTTTACTCATGCTATTCGACGATATACCAACCATCGTTACCAAAATCGGTCATTCTACAGTCATTGGAGGCTCACTATCTCTGTACTCCGGTGAGTAAGTATCCAAAACGCCCAATAATCCTAGACTCACACAGGTCCTATCATAAATGTCTCGGAACCCATCACTCATTCGACACCCATTTAGTCACTGAACAGTCGAAACGCCCAACTCCAAGACATTCGACATCCTCCAGGCTCTGGGCACTCATTGTTCTCCAGCATTCTAGGCGCTCGCCTGTTCCATGGCACTCGCCAGTCCCAGACACTCAGCCTCTGATGCCCAGCAGTCTCTTAACCCGCGCACCGACGGGGGGGGCGGTTGACCGCCCCTCCCCAAATTCGCAAATTGCCAAAAACCGCGGCGTGTAGCGCCGCGAAATTTGGCATGACTTCTTCCTCATGAATATTACACATGGTGTTCAAGTTTGAACCTCCTACCTTTCAAGGTCAGGTCACCAGGTCACTTCGAATGACCACGTTCTGGCGGTACTCACCAGTGTAGATTGTTCCCGGTGTGTACGTGTCGACCCCGCCGCTGAACTTAATCCGGAAGCCGCCCCCGCCGGCCGTTTTAGCCGTGTTCCGGTCGGGGGGCTCTCGGTTACAGCGCTGCGCCGCTGCCGGCGCTGACACCAGCACCAGGACCAACACCAGCACCACGGAGACGCCGGATGGTGCCATGGTGTGGCAGACCGACACAGAGGACAGTCGACACGGGAAGGGCGACACAGAGCACTGGCGGCCAGCACCAGTCGCAGACGGGCCGCAGACGACAGTTGGCCCCTGATAATCCAAACAAGCCTCCAGCCGCGCCGCGCCGCGGCCACCGCTGCAAACAAACCGGGGCGACAGCCTGCACCCAGCGGCCCCGGAACAGTCGCAGGGCAGGGCGGCCGCAGCATAGCAGCGGCACAGCCGAAGAACAGTCCCAGCACAGCCGTAGAGCACACTCAGTACAGTCATATCACTGAGCACAACCGCAAAGCAGCCACAGTCCCGCAGCACAGCCAAAACACATCTACAGCACAGCACAATCACAGCACATCAGCAGCACGGCCGTAGTACAGCTGCATGACAGCCATGGCACAGTCACAGCACAGCTGCAGCAGTTGCAGCACAGTCACAGCACAGTCTGAGTTGGCTTTCAGCAGGCACATCTCACTCAAGGCATGTACGTACACAACACACTGACAGTCCCCCAGCTCACCAGCACACCTAATTATGACCGATGACACACCCATGGCGCACCCCCCGCACATTCATGACGCAAACATGGTAAAATTGGTCTCAGAGCTTATGTCTAATAGTTTGTGACCCACTGGCATATCGTGTTGTGCTCTGGTCTGGCCATGATAAACAATTTTGAGACGCAATAAGCTGCTGTAAATAGACGAATGCCGATGTCGATAAATGCACAACACGGGGTTTTGAGAAACGCTTGGGACAGGATATACTGAGTCTTTCAATCGCGGTTGTAATTAAATGTTGTTTGAAAAATGAAATTGCATATGTTGATGAAATGGCTATGCTTTCTCAAACTAAACATGAGTCGCCAGGATCCGGCATGATAAGAAGGAAATGGAATAATGAGCTGATATCAGCTTCAGCTCTCATCATCACGCTAGCATGCTACAGTTAATATTCGGAATCCGGGTCATGCATTTCCATATGCCAGAATTATTGTTTCCGCACGTGCGCACGTTCAGGGGTCTGGTTTCCAAGCCTCGAAGACGGCTGGACCGAATGCGCTCATTTTGCACGCGAACCCGTGAAGGATCATTTTGCGCTAGGTCAATAAACAACTTATATAAGCATAAAATATAGGTATTGGTCTATATTGTGGACGTCTTTTCTCACATGGTACACATCCTAAAAAACACACCATGTTAATTTTTTTGGCAATCTGTTTTTTACACATTTTAGTATATACCTCTATAGGTAACTACCTTTAAACATTTCATTCAAGCTGGTTCTATTCAGTTCTTCTTCGTACATACTTGGGATAGTCTATATACCTACTGTTATAACATGAAGATTACAGTTACTACATCGCAGCATGTTATGACGTTTGCCTACTTCTCAGTTATCACTGTTACTTCCGGTGCAAGTATAACAACTCGCATAAAACACAATTCATCAGCGATGATAAGAAAACATCAGAGTACAACGCTAGGCTAGGACTCGCTGAGTCCTTCCGCGCGCTCTCAGGTCAAAGGTCGTCGTCGTCATCAACGTTGAGTGTCGCGTTGTCAACGCCGGTCTCTGGTGATGCGGCCAGCTTCTCCCGTGCGGCGATATTCCGCGAGTGTTCGTACCAGGCCTCGGTGGGGCGGCCACAGTTCCTCAGACGCTGCAGGGGAAAACTGGGGCATCAGCTGGAGTCGACTAACACATGGAAGCATAGAACAATTTAGTGACTCGGTCTTCTTAGTTCCCTGACGGCTTTGTCAAGTCCTAGAGTTCCCTTTTAGCATCCACCACGACCCAGCAGTCACAACTCACCGCTCTGAAGTCGCCCGTCTGCTCACAGGCGATGTTGTAGATAAAGCCGCCAGGAATCACGGCGATGATGAACATGGCGATGGCCCAGCCGATGCCGTTGGCGAAGGGAGGGTAGACGTAGCCGTCCACCTCGTACGGTTCGTAGTTGATCCAGCCGAGCAGCAGAATCAGCTGCCAGTCCATGAAACCAACAAAGATGTCTTTAGTTGGTTACAGCTGTCATCGATTTGACATGTTGGTTGGAAATCATAGCGCTTGGCATCATTATTCATTACGCGTATATCTTCAAAGTTCGGAGCAAGAGCTATGGCTTTATTCGGACTCCGCAAAGAATACGATGAAACGTTGCGACAAAGACACATCAAAGTAACATGCTTCAGAGGCAACGCCGGCTTAGCGACTTCTTATTTCTGTCACACTGCTCCACCCAGATCCTTCAGCACATCTGCACCTGCTCCAGTAAAAGCTGGTAACATTATTTCCCACTCCTCCTGAGGAGCACCATTGCCTAAACATAATCAATGACTGACGAGGTATCGAGTGATCCCTGACCTTCACTCACCGCCATCAGGATTGGAGACACGGTGCCGTAGATGGCCGTGATGTGCGCCTTCAGCCGGAAGCCGGGGCTGAAGCCCATGATGTTGGTGAGGTCGCGGTAGTAGTTGGTGATGCCGTACAGCCAGTACATGCCCAGCAGCTCGGTTAGACTGATGAAGAGGTACGGCCAGCCCGCAGCGTAGTTGTCCATCAGGTCCACGACGTAGCGGCCGCCCTGGAAATGGTTCCACTAATAGTGAGCTAGGCGCATACCTTCTGCAACTAAGTAATCCGCAATCATTTGCTTTGAAGGGATGCGTTGAAGAGGAAACTGAATTGTAGTTATACTCAAGAATGTTCAGCTATTCATAAGTGGCATGCTTCTAGGCGCGCTGTCATCCATTGATCATTGACTTTTAATTACCATTGAACAACACTTACCTGAGTAGTGAGAGGGATGCCGAGAAGGAACAGCGTTCCACAGATGCCTACCACCACCCAGGACTTCCACCGACGCAGCTTCGGGAACTCGTCCAGGACACAGGTTATGATTGTCTCAATTATTGCGAACTGGGTATCGAGTCCAAGCGTGAAGAGCATCAGGAAGAAGAGCAGTGCCCAGAGAGTGGATATGGGCAGGCGGGTCACTAGCTCCGGGTAGGCCACGAACGCCAGACCTGGGAAAAAATAGAACCAAAGGTATCAGCTTGAAGAAAAAGGCAAGAAGAGCAGACACAAATATTTGAGCGAAAAGAACCGGAACGTGACACACTGCATGGCACCGACAAACTAAGTCCATAATAGTATAGCTTATCAACATTAATTGGGATTGCTGTTGAGGCGTACAATACAACTTGGGAGAAGAGCTCATCTTACCCGATCCACTTTTGACGACTTCAGACACAGGAACTCCCAGCTCCTTAGCCATGAAGCCTAGAACCGAGAAGATGGCGAAACCAGCGAAAACGGATGCACAGCAGTTGCCGATGCAAACCATCAGCGCGTCTCTGAAAACCGCCGGACATTGACAACGGAAAACAGGTCTCAAGCTCAATAAAGAGAAGCCACCACGATTCAGCGTATTGCAGCGTATGAAAAGGAGCATTCTACTTGCTTTTCACTCGTCGCGATATAACAAGGCCGAGCCAATATCTACGCCAAGGAAAAGTACCTGACGACGTTGTTGTGGTACTTGTTGTAGCTGGCAAGGGTGATCAGCCCTCCGCTGGCGATTCCCAGAGAGTAGAAGATTTGGACGGCAGCCTGGACCCAGACGTCGATACTTCTAAGCCGTTTTAGGTCTGGGACGATGTAGAACTTGATGCCCTCGGAGGCGCCAGGTAGCGTGACGCCGCGGATCAGCAGGATGACGAGGATGACCACCGGGAACAGCGCCGTAAAGTACACCACCTGCCGCCAGTGAAATGAACAAGTGAAAAATTGGGACTGCAATGTCTTCTTAGCCAGAAGGCGAAACTTGTGACTGCTTAACCAGGCGACGCAGCTTAACCCTCGCCGGACCTATTGGTTTTTTACATACGCGCCGGCCGAGGGGGGGGGGGGGGTACGACCCCCCTCGCCGTTTCGCCCCTGGTGGAGCTAGCGCGTCGCGGAAAAAACGAGCGTGTGCGCCGTTACAAGACGCAGAGATTGGTACCCAATTTTAAGGTCCTAGATCAACTGGTGACCTCTGAGGTCAGGTCAAATGCTCCAAGGTACGGTCAGTTTTGGGTGAATAACTTCGCCAAAAACGGCCGCAGAGCCGTGATTTTGGCAGCATCGTGTTCGCCTCGCTCAGGCGCGTCGAATGATATACTTTTTGTTCGGGTCAGGTCATCTTAGGGTGTTGACCTCAGGTCAAGGTCAGGTCAGCACCCCCAGGTCACGAAGTTGGTCGAAAGAGGTCATGTCGCATATCATTCGATTTGGCAGGTCTTCCTGAGTCCATTGGTGGCTTTCCCGACTCGCTAGCTCAATTTGATCAAGAGTTATTGACGAAAAACTAATATGACCTTGATGACGTCATAAATGACGTCACGCAAGGTCAACATTGCAAAAGCGACGCATCTTACCTTGCAAGGAGTGCATCAAATCACGATTCTGTGTGCTTGAGGTAGTTGGAGATCGTTCCCGGTGCCAAAATATCAGTTTTCATTTTTCCCCATTGACTTATAGGTAATGGTGAGCTCACGAAAATGACCTGACCTCATATGACCTTTAGGAAAAATCCGAGATAAACAAGTTGTGAGACTCATAATGGATACTAGATCCTGCAAGTTTCATTTCCCTGTGACATCTCCTCTGGCAGTGAGGGCGTTGCGAAGTTGCGACATCTGAAGACCATGCAGAGGTAGTCACTTATGACGTCACATAGTCAGTCAGTCACATATTCACATAGTCAGGTCAGTGACCTGACCTGACTCAAAAATGCGGTTGGTGTCAATAGATCCGGCTTGAATCAAAGGTCAGGTATGCCAAGTTTCAGCTCTCTATCGCCAGCGTGTTTGGAGCTATCGCGAAAAACCCTATGGGGGGGCGCCCCGCCCCGCCCCCCCCCCCCCCCCCACCTCGGCCGGCGAGGGTTAAAACAGCCCAGGTGACGTGCCTAGTTGCCTTATGATGTGAACTTACATCCTTAGTCTTAGTTTTTGAATTTTTATCATGCCATGCATGTTCCAAGGAACGGGGAAAGCCAAGGCTCATAATACTTCACTTT